ATGCAGCTTGTCAGCTCTCTTAGAGCTGGCTGTGGTGGTGCACCCCTAGCACACAGGGAGGCTGAGGCCAGGAGGGTTTGTAAGTTCAAGTCTCACTTGTGGAGCTTAATGTCTCGGAGGAGAAAAGGGCTGGGGAATGTAGCACAGTGGTCGAGTACCTCTGCGTTTGAGCTCTAATGTATATAGATATATATATAGCTATATATATATATATATAGCTCCCGCCCCTGAAAAGCAGGTGTTTGAGCTTCTATTCAAGACATTTGGTAAAAGGTAGCAGACTGATTGGAAAAAAACTCTGGAAGCTGCAGACAACTAATTCACTTCCCTGTCTTGATGAAGAGGTGATCCACTTGGTGTGACCAAGTGTGGGGTGCTTTCCCACAGTGTTCGCCCTAACCTGCCCAAGTTGACATGGGGCCCTGTGCCGCCTGTGATCGATGCCCAGTGTGATGAGAGCCATGGCAGTGGCGCAGGTCTGAAGCCCGTTGAGATGGACTCTGGACACACGGAAGTCCTAGGTGGACGGAGCTTGGTCCGCCTGGCCTGTGCCCCCAACTCGAGGGTGCTTCTGGGTGGGTTCCAGCTCAGTGCGCTGCTGCTGTGTGGCTCCCTCCGCTGGGTGCTGGGCACATCCCTGGCGCTTGGGGCCGGCTGTGTTGATCCCTGCACCTCTGGGAGCCCTGGGCAGGGTGTATGGGGCAGATGAGAGCCTGGAAGAGGCGGGGGCTCGTTACCCTGGGGCTTTCCCCCACTTTCTCTCTTACCCGATGCTCCCCAGGATCAGGGTGGAGGTGGGATGTGCCGCCAAGTGAGGGGGACCGTGGCAAGGGGAGGCAGGTGGGGCCTGCCCAGCTCATGTCTGATGGGACAGCTCTGAGAGTTAAGTGAGAAAATTTGGGAGTGCAGCGCTAGGTTGAGTCATGGGACACGTGCCTGTCTGCGATGAGTTCAACGGGGAGCGTAAGATGGGCATTTTAGCTCGCTCAGCTGAGAGGGCCACGCTGTGACATTGGAGCCCTCAGGGACCTGCCGTCAGCCAGCAGTTGCCATGGAGGTCGTCGCAGCAGCCCAGACTCCAGCAGGCTCTTGGCTGCCTGGGTGGCTGCCCTGGGCGAGCAGGGCCCCTCTCAGTGTCACGGAGGAGCTGTGTGTAGACCTGAGGGATAGGACTGGGCCCTTGCGGTAGGGAGAAAATCCTGGGCTGGGTCAGGACCCCCAGCCCCTGGGTTAGGACCCGACGGCTGAAGAAGGGCCTGAGTGTCTTGGCAGGCTCTCCAAGCTAAGCAGACCTGCTGAGTCCCGCAGGGCAGGCAGCAGCATGGATGTGAGTGTGGCTGGCTGCCTATGGGGCCTTCCCTGGAGGATGCTGCCAGCTTGCTGGCTGGCGCGTCTAGGAGATGCTGTGTGCCCCCGGGCAGCTGCAGTGTCCCTCTGTGCTCGTCAGACTGCGATGGGGACGAGATGGATGTGTGCTCCTGGTGAACACGGCCCCAGGTCTTTGGGCATGCCTTCGTGTTGTAATTGAAGCTCTTCTGCCTTCTCCCTTCTCTCTTAGGAGTTGTGTCTACTGTGGTTCCTGACTCTGCCCATAAGCTGTTCATTGGGGGTCTGCCCAACTACCTGAACGATGACCAGGTGAGCCCCTCCCCAGGCCCCTGCCCCTGCCCCTGCTCCTGCTGGCCTGACTGGATGCTGATGGCTTCTTGGCCTGCTGCAGGTAAAAGAGCTGCTGACATCCTTCGGGCCTCTCAAGGCCTTCAACCTGGTCAAGGACAGTGCCACAGGGCTCTCCAAGGGCTACGCCTTCTGTGAGTACGTGGACATCAACGTCACTGACCAGGTGAGCCTGGGGGCCTGGCCGCCCGCCACGTCTGCCCTGTCCAACCTTGCTGTTTCCAGCTGCGGTGCCCTCCTGGGACGGGGTGGGAGGTGGCCACCCAAAGGAAGGCCCTGTGTGGCCCGCTCCATACTCTCACCTCCTTTGCCATCCTGTTTCCCCACCTATGCCCCGGCCTGGGGGAGGAACCGGGCTCCTGGGCCCTGACTCCCCTCTCCTGTCCCCCTCCGCGCCCTACCCGACACAGGCCATTGCGGGGCTGAACGGGATGCAGCTGGGGGACAAGAAGCTGCTGGTCCAGAGGGCAAGTGTGGGAGCCAAGAATGCCACGCTGGTGAGCCCCCCGGCACGTCATCTTCCATTGGCTAGGGGGCCTGGGCTGGGGGCCGGTGGGGGCAGGCCTTCCTGGGGCTCTCCTGGGAGGCTGCTTGGGGCTTCACTGGGACAAGGGGTACGTAGGTGTGCAGGTGGAGGAGCTCGTCCCCTGGGCAGGCCTTGGAGGGTGCAGGCTTGAGTGGCGTTAGTCTGGTTGGAGCCCCCTGTGACAGCCCTTCCTGCCCCTGGCCCCATAGAGCACCATCAACCAGACCCCCGTGACCCTGCAAGTGCCGGGCCTGATGAGCTCTCAGGTGCAGATGGGCGGCCACCCAACTGAGGTCCTGTGCCTCATGAATATGGTGCTGCCTGAGGAGCTGCTGGATGATGAGGAGTACGAGGAAATCGTGGAGGACGTGCGGGATGAGTGCAGCAAGTATGGGCTGGTCAAGTCCATCGAGATCCCCCGGCCCGTGGATGGTGTGGAGGTGCCCGGCTGTGGAAAGGTACCGCTGTCCCCCCGCAGTGGCCCTGCACCCTTGCCTCTACCCTGGGCCTGTGTGATGGCTGGCCGGGCTGTCAGCGCAGCTCAGTGTCTGGGCAGTGTTCTGCACCTGCCTCCGATTCTCCCCGGTGTGACCTGTGTCTGAACTCAGAGGAAAGTACACAAGTGCAGTTGCAGCACCATGCAAGTCCCACTGTGTCTGTGAGAGCTGCGTCCTCTGCCTGGACTCCCCAGGTCCCCTCTGCACTGTGCCAGGCCCACGCAGGGGTCAGTGGTGAGGGTGGGGACTGGCACTCGCCTGTCCACTTGGGGTATCGATGGCAGTCTTACTGTGCTGAAGGCGTGTGTGGGGCTGAAGTGCTGCTGGGACGGGAGGAGGGCAACAGGGACGTTGCGATGGAGCAGCTCCTGGGGCTTCAGGCCATGGGCACATCTGAAAGAGTGGCTGAGGTCAGGGCTGAAGAAGAGTAGGTAGAGAGAGCCTGGCCTCCAGCATCAGCTGAGCTGTTTACTGTATCACATCCTGCTCCTGTTCTTACATTTCATATCAGGAATATTTACAGACATACTTGACACTGATAATTGTGCATCCAGTCTCCCACACTGCCCTTGTCATTTATTCTTGGCCCCCCCCCCTCATTTTTTGGTATTACTTGAAGTATCTCAGGTGTATTTCCCCGAGGTGCTTCTATATGCTTCTGTAATTTCTCACCTACTGACGTTCTGGGCCACATTTTTTTTTTTAAGGCAGGATTTTGCTATGTAGCCCAGGCTAGGTTGGAACTGGTGGAAATCCTCTTGACTCAGCCTCCTGAGTGCTGGGATGACAGGCCCTCTTGGCCAGATGGGTGTGGGTTGGTGCTGTATGTTGTAGCATACTGAGCTGCACCCCCAGCTTCTCTACCTGCTGCTACTCCCTTTTGTCAACCCAAAAACGGGCACTCGGTGTTCCTGGGGGCTTTTTGCCCCCTTTTTGAGGGCCACTGGTCTTTTTTTTCCTCACTGCTCTAACTTGAAAAGTGTACATAAGCTTTTTTTTTGAGACGGTTTTGCTATGTATCCCAATCTGGCCTTGACCTCACTGTGTATCCCAGGCTGGCCTCAGACTTTTGGCTATTCTTCTGCCTCAGTTTCCCGAGCTCATTTATCAGTTTTATCATGGATCTTTTCCTTCTAAAAGAAATCCACCATTTTTTATTATTTTGTGCTGTCTGGGAATTGAACCTAGGGCTTATGCATGGCAAATGTTCCTCCACTGAGCTGTGCACTCCAGGGTGCTTGCTAAGTTGCCCAGGCTGCCTGTAACTTCTGCGTCAGTCTCCAGAGTTGCTGGGACTTCTGTTTTTAAAGTGAAGCTGTCAGGTTGTGGAATTTGCCACGTTGAGGTGAACGTGCCCATTTGCTCTAAACTGGTAGTTCAGACAGCATCAGAGGCTGGGGTAGGACCAGGTGAGGGCCCTGTGCTCAGGGTGGGTTTGAACTCGAGTCCCTTCTGCGTTGCCTGGTGGCTGCTGCAGCACTGGGCCCTCCCCGTGACGCGTGCTCCCCGGGCCCCCCGGGCCTGCCCGGAGCGGGAGCGTGCTGCGGTGCCCATCCCCGACCAGCGGGTGGGTGGGGCTGGTCCTGGGGCGCTCACGCCCGCCTCTCCCGCAGATCTTCGTGGAGTTCACCTCCGTGTTCGACTGCCAGAAAGCCATGCAGGGCCTGACGGGCCGCAAGTTCGCCAACAGAGTGGTCGTCACGAAGTACTGCGACCCCGACTCCTACCACCGCCGGGACTTCTGGTAGAGGCGGCGGGAGGGCCGGCGGCCGCGGAGGAGCCCCGCCTGCCTGCCCCTTGGAAGACCGGGCAGGCGCGGCCGCGGGGACGCGGAGACGCCGGCAGCGCAGCGCGGGAGGGCGGGGAGGGTGGGGTGGGAGGGAAGTGCACACAGCCCGCGAGACATGCACCCCGCGGGGCGTCGCGGCGGCCCTCCCCGCCCTCCGCAGGAGCGTAGCGTGTTCGTACTGCGGCCAAACCCCTCTGTTGTCGCCCGCCCCGCCCCCCGCCCGTAGGTAGCGCCCCGTCCCGCCCGCCGCCGCGTGGCCGCCCCTGTGGCAGTTTCATATTTGCTAAGACGAATTTGCTCATTAAACATTTTGTTGTATTTTACTTCGCGGGGCTGCTCTGTGTCTGGTACGCGCCACCCGCGTGCCTGGGGCGTGCGCGGGGCCCTGGTCCCCGGAGGGCGGGCGGCGCGGGGCTCTGGAGGGCCCGGGTTCCCTCCCCTGGCCCTACGGAGCTCCCCGGAAATGACGTTGGGGGCCTCCTGACGGCAGCCCTTGCGCCGGAAGTGATGCCGGCCGGGCGGGTTTGGCTGCGGAAGCCGGAACTGCCAAGGCCAGGCGCGGCGGTGGGCGGGTCGCACGGCCACTTCCACTTCCGGTCCGTCGCCGCCTTCCGTTGCTTCCCGTTCGCTCGCCGGCTCCCCTCCCCCGCTAGGCCCTCCGCGCCCCTCTTGGGCGCCGGGGCGGCGGGGCCGTCGGTCGGCGTGCGGCCCTCCGTG